GTGCAAATGCCTTATTTTAATTTTTTTTATTTTTGTTCATATATTTTATTTTTGTTTTCTTTTATTTGTTTTTTATCAGGCAATCTTTTGTAGAAAAAAAAGCTAAAATATTGAAGTTTTGCTATTCACAATCAAAAAGTTTTAAAAATCTTTATCAAAGATTTTTCATTTACAATATCATACCTAAATTTCCTGTTTTTTTTTTTAATTTTTTATTTCTTTTAATCATTATCACCTCAAGCAAGGCAGAAAAGCCACTAAAACATAAGGGGTTGTAGGGTATGGAAGAATTAGGAACAGAAACATTAAAGAGCAGGGAGATAATGTAATCAGGAGGACAGTAGATAGCAATTGACATTGCATTTAAATTTTTGCAGATTAAAGTTAACTGGAAAGCATAGAGCTGGAAGGGAGTTCCACAAGAAATGCGAGAAAAGAAACTGTTAGCATAGAACTTATATCTATGTCTAGCTAGCTCAATTGTAAATTGATGAGATCTCAATGCCAGTTTAGTACTGTGCTTATTCATAGAGTCTAGGTACCACAGAGAAGAGCTCATCCAAACAATTATCATGAAAGTATTTAAAAAAAAAAAAAAAAAAGCACAGAGAGACAATCTTATGGCAATGGGAAAAACACTGAAACCGAGCTGCCAGATCAGTACCAATAATATTGCTATTCTTTATTTTTTTTAAATCCTCCATTAAATTTTCGATTTAGTTTATAGTAATCAGAAAATATGACACACAAACGTTTGTTAATTTGTTTTTTTAACCAAAAATTAACATAAAAAATATAATTTCTTTGCTTTGTTCAAAATTTATTCTTACAATTAGATACTAATGTTTTTTCCATAAAGCAAATATATTTAAGTCCTTCAAACTTCAATTTTTCATTCTTGTTTCATTCATCAGTTTAATGTACATAATTTGGCGTTTTTTTATGTACATGTTTCATTATATTAAAAGCATGCTACTATTAGTAAGTAATTTTCTTTTTTGTTTTTCTTAAGAAATGAGTTGCTTTTAGAATAAACATAATAGAATTTTAATTGAAAATTATGTATTGGCCCCAAAATCCTAACCAGTCATCTCAAACTAATGTCCTACTGTTTCCAGGATGACATTAATTTTAAGCCCTGCATAATTCAGTGTGTACATCTTTTCTTGTTAATTTTGAAAACTAAATGTCTCCAAAAGCCAAACATGTTTTTTTTTTCTTTATGGATGTCATCTTCACACCAAGGCTTGAGTTTGATGCCAAACATAGTATAATGCAGCCCATGATTCAAAGTTTACTTTAACTACACTTTACCATAGCATGTAGAGAACAGCAGAAATTATTTCAAGAAAAGTTTAGCTTAAACTATAGCATTGTGTCATGTGGTGTTCTGCTTATAGATTGTTTTTTAAGATTGTGAAAATGTTTTAAAGATTTATCTTCCCAATATATAGCACAAAATAAATGATTGCATACATGTAAACTACAATCTTCAAGTCAAAGGTCAATCGTTATCTATCCTCCTTATCCTCAGAATCTACAATTCCTAACATTTTTCATTGATATCACTCACTTCAATCATCATAACCAATTTAATAATAACCCTATATTTTGAATTGCTCTTTAGCCTGACCTTTAGTTTAAAAAAAAAAAAAAAAAAAAAAATAATGGTTCCATTCAACGCTGCCAGAAGTTTTGGTGAATGTAATGGTCACTTAAGGAAGGCTTAGGCAAAATTGCTGTTGTTTGCTTTTAATTTTTCTTTTTGTCTGAAAAATAAGGAATGAATACGGGTTTTATATGCATGAACATAAATTTGTATGGCAACCACACTGATAAATATAATTTTAAATCCATTCTCAAAGATCTTAACAAGGATTAACCATATGATGTTAATAAATATGTCTTTGAATATTGCTAGACTGCATGAAGACTTACAGAACATAAGTAATATAATTATTATTATTATTATCAGGACTCACAATAATGCGGATTCAACACCGGGTTTTATCAATTACTGTTGACCAATGTGTATTTGTGTGTGTGTGTGACCCCAGTCCCAAATATCAGAGAATATTGTACACTAACAAAATTAACATGACTGGGAGTTCATTCCAAAAGTTTTTCAGACAACCTCATCTGTTACTATTTTTTGCTTGGCACTATCTGAAAAAGAGATCCTCTTTCCAGAAGGAAGATACATCAGAAAAAAAAGACTGTAGAATGGATTAGCCAAAATAAGTTTGTCTGAAAAACTCTTGGAATGAACTCCCTGTCATGTTAATTTTGCTATTGTATAATATTCTCTGATATTTGATAATATAAGTCGATTTACTAAGGTGGTCTTTATTCAGATATTTTTCATTAGCTTTTCATTGATAAACACCATTCTTTTGAAATTGGTTTTTCTATAATCTTTTATTGATCATTAATTCTATGATAAATGTTAGACATTTTTTTCCCCTTGCACAAAATGTGAAAAAGAGATATGGATGACCGCTTGGAAATACCAAGTGCTGTAAGCTTGGATGTGCAGATGGTGTTATGGATAATAGCTCAGAATTGTTAATCTGAGAGCCAAGTTTCAATTCCTGTTAGGTTCATTATATTCACTTATATGCAAATACCCTTGGAGAATGTATGAATCCACCTTTTAATTAATTAAGTTAATTAGTGAGGCTTGTATCACTAATCTCAAAAAATAATTCTTATGATCTAAAATATTTTTTGGCTTTAAATAACCTACTACAGGTTGATAAGCCATAGGAAACAAATCAATCAGTCAATAGATGATGTACCTGAAACAAGATTATAACAAGTTTAAAGTGTGTTATCATGAAGTCAAGGCATTTCATACATAATAAAGAAAAGAAATTAGAAGACACATGATCACTTGATTGAATATGGCATTAAAAAATGTCATGTTTATTAAATCTTTCTATCAGTCAAATCCATTAACATTAAACAAAACTAAGGTTGTATAATAAACAGGGACTTTAATTTCCTTAAGAAAAATAATCCGGTAGTTCTATTATCGTGAATTCAAATTTTTAATATTAGATGAAATATTGTCAATTATTACTAATTTTTGTTTCTTATTTCTTCCATCTTAATTTGAGTTGCTTTTTCTTTCTACTTCTTGTCATGGCCAGTACCCCGTTACTGCTTTGGAATACCAATTAATATAAGTTTTGATGTTGGGGGGGGGATAGTGTCTCGGAACTAGAAATCAGAGAGCCATGTTACAATTCCAGTCAGGTTCGTTATATTCATTTACATGTAAATACCCTTGAGATAAGTATGAATCCACCCCACCCACCCCGCCAGCTATGGGTTGATTAGTAGGACTTGTATCAGTAAATTGTTATCTCAAAAAAAAAAAAAAAAATTTTTATGATCTAAAAATATTTTCTGCAAAACCTACAAAAGGTTGATAAGCTGTAAAAATAAAACAAATCAATCAATCTCACTGCTTCTCATACCAATCTGTTGTGTTTACTAAAGGTCGTAGATTGACAGTATGATTAGTTGCAATGGAAAGCAACTAAAATTAAGATGAAAGTAATGCTACTTAAAAATTAATGAGTAATCTGAATTCATTGCAAGAAGTGATGAGTTTTATGTAATTGAATCAATCCTGTTCAGACCTTTTATTTTCTTACTTTTTTTGTTACTATTTCCATGACAAGTTTTCAAAAGAAATTTTCACCAGTTTAGACCATTACAGCTTAGCCCCTTGCTACTCTTTCGCTATTTCCATGGCAAATGTTCAGATGAGCTCTATTCTTTAGTTCCACAAGTTTAGACCATTAGAGCTTAGCCCCTTGCTACTCTATAGCTATTTCCATGGCAAATGTTCAGATCAATTCTATTCTTTAATTCTACAAGTTCAGACCTTTCCAGCTAGATCACACTATACCACTTTCACACAGTTGAATCAGCTTCATTTCCTCCATGTTCCAAATGTAAGAAAGATGTTCCACTCAACTTTTTCCCAAGAACTGCCTTTTTGTTGAACAGACTCCTGCATGAATATTTCCCTTGACACTTCAGTCTTGACCTCTTTAGGTCAAGGATTAATTGTCATCTTTCCTCCTTATCCTCATACTCCTTTCTCCCTATCTTCTTTTCCATTCATATCGCACACATCATCCATGGTTACCATTTTGACTGTAACCCTCTACCTTGGGTTACTCTCAAGCCTTGTATTGTGTGAAATTTAGTTAAAAATTCTTCCTTTTTATTAAGTTTTAAAAATATTCTTAATGGCTAAAAAGCTGCATTGAATAAAACTTAGCTTCAACCTTCTGTCAATGTCTGAAGGGAGAGTATATTTTTGATCAAACTTTACAATATAGAATCACAATCATTCTTATTTTTTTAATAGTATCTTCTTCATTCCGAATGTGATTGAAAAGATGCTAGTCACAAGTTAACCTGCTTTTATCTCGATTTCTAGGATGAGAAGTTATCATTATTTACATGCAGACTGTTGTTCTTAGCTTTGTTGTTTTTATCATATTTTGGTTGTTGTGCTTTCCAGCCTTCATCAGGTACTTGTCAAACCACATAACCTTCAGGGAATTTCAATCTGAACTCTTTATTTAATCTACAAGGATAGACTGTTCTCATTCTACTGCTCATGTCTAAGGATATCTCTAAGAACTAGATGAGATATCCATAGACATTGGCAGTGGAGCAAGAACAATCTATCCCCATAGATTAAATAAAGGGTTCAGTTGGAAATTTGATGTAGATTATCTGGATCAACAAGCCTGGGATAAAGATTTGATGGCACGATGACTGAAACAACAACAACAAAGGTGAGGGTAGTAGTCTGAATGTAAATATTGACAGTGCTTCATTTAATAATAAAAATTCAAGATATTATTACTGCTACTACTCTTAAATTATTTCAGTGTTTCATATTTAAAGAATAAATTTGATTATCTTTTAATGTTTTTTTTTTTTTATTGCTGAAAACTGTTTCCTTTATCTAGTCAACAGACTGAAGTCACCACTGAAGGAAGTGGTGTTGAAGAAAATCAGTCGACTAATTCTGTGGAGAAAAAATCAAGTTTGGCAGGTGAGTTTTTACATTTTCTATTTTCGTCAAGATGTTTATTAAATATCTATGAAATAAGAATTTACTAATTTCTTTTATTAAGTTGGTTGGTTGGTTAGAAGCATATCAATCTCTTGCTTATTTAATGCCGAAATCTAAATATTTTGAATGCAATCGCATGCCTTCAACTACATATAAAATGTATTGTTGTTCATTTTTTATGTAAAAATGTATTGCTAGTATTTTTATTATAAAGTTTTTTTTTATATTTTTATAAAAGAAAAAAATCATTAGACACTTAAACTTAATTCACGTTTAAAATCAGTCCAAGTTATTGGAACACCCTTTATAATTGGACATGTGTGTTTGTGGATGTATAATAGTATTCAAAATAAAAGGGAAGATAATAAGACAAAGTTATGACTAAACAGGCAAAATCTGTGAATCTCCTCACTAAAGCTGAATTATTTATCAATAAATGGTACCTGCCCCACTTTTTTTATTTGTTTTTGTTTGTTTTTTTTAAATCCCATCAATTTGAAAACTTGCTGGATACTAATTTTTCTTACCCCCCCTCTCTTTCTATCTTAGTTCAATATGTGGCAATGTATGATTATGCTTCCGATGAGCCCAGTGATCTAACGTTTAACCAAGGTGATATAATTACTGTGACTGCAATGGAAGGCAATTGGTGGACTGGTGAAATAGGATCTCAGTCAGGAATATTTCCTGCTAACTATGTCAAGAAAATGGAAGTTCAGGTATGGTTTTTGCATTTAATATTCATCCTATCCAAATAACTTATCACATTGTCATCAGTTCATTTTGGACATACACAATAGGCCAAAAGTTTTGGGACCCACTCTATGGATTCAATTATTAGTAGTTTCATGCCTTCTTTGGTTTAATCAACTCCAATTAAGCTGGGATTCTGAAATTATTTAACCCATTATTGCATCCAATTTTTTTAGAAAGGTAGTTAACTAAAATTTAAAATCTGCCAGCCCTAAGATGAGTAGTGCAAAAGATCTAAATTTTATACAGTAATTGGTTAATTTCATTGTTATTATTAAATATATGATAAAATACTTCTGGAAGAGAAAGTCCCTCTGACCCAATGTGAGGTAGAAAATTAGTTTTGAAAAAAAGTACGCAACCTTCAATTTTTAGTTAATTCTTTGAAATCCAGATTTTCCCCAAACTTATGGCCTGTAGTGTATTTGGATGTGTATATAAAATAAGCTTTGGATTAAAGGTCTGTCAAAAAAAAAAAACTTGATACATGCTAATAGTAAGATTCATTTATGTTTAAGAAACAAAAGCTTTTTAATGGTTCTTTTGTTTAGAATTACATTTAATATTTTTTTACAATTATTTTACTTAATCGTATTAGATATCCATTAGACTGTTACTTAAAAAAAACAAAAAAAACTGTTTTTGCATATAGTTTCTGTGTACTGAGATTATTAATTCATAAAAACAATATTAGTGAATACTTTCAAGTTATAGACAAGATATAATTATCTCAGTGTCATTGTTGTTCAGTAACATTCAAATTATTTTTATCAGTCTGAACAGATTTATTTGGATCCTTTAAGAACACATAGTCCTAATTTGTTTCCTATATTTTTATAGAACACAGTTTAATGTGTGTGTGTGTATATATATATATATATATATATATATATATATATATATATATATATATATATATATATATATATATATATATATATATATATATATATATATATATATATATATATATATATATATATATTTTTTCTCTAAATATATACTTTATATATATTATTTAAAATGAACATGATGATTTCAGTTAATTTTTGGTAAAATTTACATGTCTTCTTTGCATAGCTGAGGTAACAAGAAATCCTAGAACGTGTTGTAGAGTGTTGGGGAATGGATCAACGGTGACAGAAGGGAACTTCAAATCATAGCAACAAGTATATGCAACATGTGTGTTCTCGCATTCTTGCAGCAGCAAATAAGACATCTAAAATGTGATGAAATGATGCTTGAATGTGAACTGATAGTTAATAACAGGTAAAAAAAAAAAAAAAAAAGTGTCTTTGGATTTCAGTAATCATTTAAGAAATAGTTCTTAAGTTTGTTATCACATGTGAAATAATTTTATTCAGTTGCATGTAAAATATTCTCTTTAAGAAGTAGTTGCAGATGGGACATTTTCTTTCACTTTGTCCCTACAAGTAGAAGGGAAAATAATATTATCAAAATGTTGACTTTCCACACTACCTTAAACAAAAGGTTAGGAAGGAAACTCTCATCAGTACTAGAAAAAGCAATAACGGTAAGTGGACTTGAAAAACCAATTTTCCTGAAAAACTGTTTTTAGAGAAAGATTTTATAAATTTCAACCGACGTTAACGCTAACTGTTTAGTCAATGAATCTTTCCTGTAGAGAAACAGCCAATCTTAACCATTGACTCAAGAAATTGACCAAAAGTCAAATATTGCTAATTAAGAAATTGACCAAAAGTCAAATATTGCTAATTAAGAAATTGACCAAAAGTCAAATATTGCTAATTAAGAAATTGACCAAAAGTCAAATATTGCTAATTAATGGCTCACCAGATTTGAAAATTACATATTTGTAAATAGGGGAGTACCTGTATTTTTAAAAAAAGTAAAGGTTTTAGGTTATTAGTTTTTATTTGTTGTTTTTTTTCTTTTTGCAAGATTTGTATAAACAAGGAACTTCTCAGAACATTTCAATATTTTAATCACAATCAGGTTTGGATGTTTTTAATGATTACTTTTGAAGATGTCTAGATCTATCTTGCATAAATTCTACATGTAAAGAATAAAAATGCAAAGTCAGTTGCCCATTAACTATGGCAGAAGTTTTCCATCATTCACTTGATCCCCTGAACTGCAATGATAGAAATTCCTGTAACCTACAGTTAATCATTAATGTCACTACCATATTTCCTTGTGTATAATACAATAAATTTTAAATGAAAATTAAAGACAAGAAAAGTGGGGGCTGTATTATACACAAGTACACGTTATCAGAAATTTTTATTCAACTTAAAAAACCTCTTATTTGAAACAGCAAGATTGAAAATACACTCAGCACAATAGAAAATAAAATACAATGTAGGCAGATGTTGATAACCATTTTTTTTTTATAAAAAGTATTTGATATGTCAGTAATATTTGTTTGTCTCTTCAATCTTAATGAATGATAATATTCTTTTTTATTCCATACTTTATTAATATATAGAAATATAAGAGAAAAGTATGATCAATTAATTAACACCTGAAAATATATTACCAGGTATTTCTAGTTATCACGTTTTCCTGAAAATTCAAAAATAAGTTTTGAATTTGAGATTAGAAGAAACATGCAATGGCTAAACATCTGGTTCATTTTAATTCTTTAATATTCTGAATTCTTAAATATTTTAGTAAAAGATATGTCTGGAATTGAGATTTTTTTAAAAAATTACATCGTAATGACTGTACTACTGTGTTGTATTTTATTCAAAGATGCAATTTATTCCCCATTTTTAACTTCAGAAAGAAAATCATATTGTACATAAGAAAATACAGTATATGATAAGTTTAAGGAAACTTTTTATCAGATTTAAAATTTTATCTCAATGATTGAGCAAAACAAAAAAAAACATGAAAAAAATAGTAGTAAATAAATATGACTTGAATATTTGAATTTCTGTGAATGAAATGTTGCCATAAGCCTATTTGGATTTAAAAGAAATTGGTTCATTTCAATGTGCATATCTACATTTAAGATTAGAGTTTTTATATGAATATTATTTTGCACAAAATCCCTAAGCATTGGTAAAACCAACACAAAACCTGTCGGGTAACCAAAAAAAAAAAACTACTCAAAAACAAGACCAACAACCAATAAACCAAAAACCAAGTAAAAACAAAAAAAAAATGTAGAAGAAAAAGGGGGAAAAAAAAATATAAACTAAGACGAAAAGACAAACATCTACCTAAATAGTAATATAAAGTGTTGTATATTTAAATTACCAAGACAGAACAATTACTCTTCCCAACATCATGACTCAGATAAAGACAGGATTTGAATCTCTACTAAAGTTTCACACTACTATGATCATCAGGCAGCCGGAACGTTTTGTCACCTCCTGATTGCGATAGCATGAAACTTGAGTAGCTGTCCAATCCTTGTCTCCAAGTAAATGTTATTTTAAATAATTATTAATCATGAGCTGTAAGGACCTTTTTAATTGTTATAGATATAATCAAATTGCCATAATACAATTATAAGATTTTTTAAACTAGCCTTAGATGGGTTTTAAAGTTTATTTTCCTCATTTAATATAAAAATTTACAGTTCTTTGCATTTAACATAAAAAAGCTTATACTGAAAATGTAACTTGTGGTTTTATTAAATTGATTTTCATATTGCTTTTCTAATTTGTCAACAGATTTATTTGTTAGATTTGCATGAATAAATACAGAATATTAAATATATTTCATTTCTTTTGTTGCTCAATATTTGGATTGTTTTATTTTATGCTTTTGTCAATGCATTGTATCAAGGCTTTCATTTGAATTGCCTTTACCTTTTTGGTACTATTTTCTTTGTTGCTTCGCAGCTTTTTGTGGCTTAGATGCTTCTCCCTATAAACACTTGCTATCTACTCTGCTTTTGTAGCTGCTCTCTACATTCTTGCACTGATGACTCATTCTCAATGCTTTTTACCACCTCAAGTTAAATTGAAAAAGTTTCTGAAGTGTTTGTTTTTTTTTTTTAGTTATATTTATATAATTTAAAGATCACCTGATTCTTGGTTACCATATTTGATATCAAATATATATATATTTATATATCAATATATATATATATATATATATATATATATATATAGAGAGAGAGAGAGAGAGGTGGAGGGGTAATGTTTGACACAAAATGGGAAAACTTTTGTTGGGATACATTTTGTTCTTTAGGACTTCATCAGATTAAATTTATGTTGGTGCAACTACACATGCTCACAAATGAGAGATGCTGGGAATTTTTAATTTTTTTTTTTTTTAATCTAGCTGAATAAAAAATTAAATTTTAGGACAATTTGATGTATTATTTTGTAGAATGTCCCATTTGTGTTCATACAAGGCAATACATCAAATACATTGGTTGCTCACTGTAATGAGAATGACCACAAATTTGACATAAAAAATGCTACAAAGGAGAAAACCATTCACTAAAATGAAAATGTCCAGAGAGTGTCTTGATTCCAAGGTCATTTACAGTAAATTTGTACCCTGGCTCTTACAACATTTGACCATTGCTGGCAGAATCTACTAACAAAAATGATGGAAACAGAAAGTAAAAGAATCTAAATGAAATTAACGAGATTAAAAAAATTTTTTAATTCCCAACATCCCTCATTCATGCAAATGTGTAGACACACCAACACACCAACTTTAATCTGATGAAGTCCTAAAGGACGAAACGCATCACAAAAATTTTTCCACTTTGTCATACATTTTTCCCCAATATTGTTCTTAATATATAAAAATATATATTGTTATCTCATATATATATATATATAACAATATTTGCTTCTATGTCCCAGCTATACTGGCAGAAGTTTAACCCCTGGCACACTCACCGACTAGGAACCAAGCAAAACCTTAGTCACCCAATGGAGAAAACCTCAATGACAAAAGACCTGGTGTGGTCAACAGCTCTCCATCTGTATAGGATAGGCAAGCATCAACAGACTATTACATTGGCTTAATTTGTAGTGATTGATGGCTACAACAGTATGGATCAACTAGTTCTAGATAGCTGAATACTGTGGTTGCTAGCAAGAGTTGTGGCCACTAATACTGAATCATACTTTCAATTTATGAAAGTAATTGAAAAACAGTATGACTAGTAAATCCAATTCTTCATACATTTTTTGAGGGAAATGAGGTTTTTCTTTGATACTGTCAAATCTGATATTTATTTATCAGTCCTAATAAAACAAACTTAGCTAGAATTTATTATAATATTTAATGAATGAAATAATGTTTGCAATTATTATACTTAAACTTATTTGAGGAATAAAAAAAAAAGAGATTAATATTAATTTAAATTTTCAAAGATCATAGTTGACAGGAAAGTAAGAAATCAGAAGAGATTTTCACAGGCAAGAACTGAGAAAAGAAACTATTAGAATAGAACTTGCATTTAGTAATATCAACAGTAAAAGGATGAGACCAATCTAGTACTACACTTAAATGTCAGGTCAGAACCAATAACATTGTAGATCTTTTCATTATTTTTTTTTTTTTCAAGAATCACTAAATACATAGCAGAAGCACCAGATCAGATGTGTCTTTAAATTGTAATGGTGATTTTTAGTTTTTTGACTTTAGTAGACTTTATGAAGTTTCCATATAAGGATTATTTTATACCTTTTATTTATTATTCAAATGTAGTTATCACAATGAGTCTTCTAATAAGATTTATACATTTTCTGTTTTTCATATTTTCTTATATTGCTTTGGTGCATTTATGCTTTCAAACACTTTTGCTTCATTTATAATTACTCTCTTGGTAGACATGAAATTGCAAGCCCTTTCCCAATCCTATACTCTATACATCATCAAAATAATATTCACTTTTCAGTGTCCTCAATATTTAATACTGGATAAGTATAAAGGTGTTCTGAAAGTTTTTTGACCTAAACATAAGTTTATTTTGAAAGGGCTTCTTGGTAATGCACAATCAAAAGTTCAAGGATTAGTATAAAATTGACTTATCAACTTCAGAGTAATTTAGAAAGTACTACATATATATCCTGGTCTACTTGTTAAAAAAATATTGAAAAACTTTTTTTGAAAATTTTTGTACATTAACATTATACCTTCCTTGGGTCACAACACTTGTCAGAAGAAAAAAAAATGGAATTTTTTATCATTTTATAAAGGGTGTCCTGTTCATAACATTGACAGTGTAAAATTGGTTCCTAATTTATCTGTTATTTATAAATGTCATGTTTGAAAGTGTGCTAACATTATTGATATCAGCATTTTTTTTTTAATTTTCTGAATTTTTTAATCTTTTTTTAACTCCCTTGAATTCTTAAAAACTTTTTTTAAAACTTATATGCAGACATTTGAGTTTAGTAATTATTTATCTTGAATGAAGAATAACTGGATACATACATTTATTAATTTATATAAATTTTTGTTTTTTAATTACAAATATATATATCCATTTGTTCTTTATTCAAAAGAAATTTTTTGTAACCCTCCAAAAGTATGTTTTTGTACTCAAAACAGCTAAGTCCAATAACTCTGTAAAAGTCAGGTATTGATTTGACACTGTATTGATATTATAAACAGGACTCCCCACTTTTTAAATCAATAAAAAAAAATCAATATTTTTTGATTCTGACAAGTCACAGTGTAAGGTCTAAAGAATGCTAATGTGCAAAAACCTATTTCCAAAACAATTTTTTCCTATTTTTCACAAGTAGACCATCTATTTAAGTAGTGCCATTTTGTCATATTTATAGTGGAAAAAAAACTATCATTTAAACAAAAACAAACATCTATAGTCATATCCAGCAAATAATGGGAAAATTCATTAAATCAAGAAAGATTTTTTTAACTACAATGATTGATTAGCAAACCCAAATTTGCAATTACCTTAAGAAAAAGCTCAGAGAAATAACTAACATTGTTTTAAGCATTTAAATTCTTTCAAATCTAAATCTAACTCTCTTTGTACCCCTAATAATTGATGGGATTATTTACATCTGGATTAGCACTTGTGTCTAAAGATCACAGTATTTGTGCATGCTCCCTATGACCAAAGTGTCACTGCTTCACCCTCTTCATAAAGTTAGTGTTGTAGCTATATTGTCTGCCAACAATCAGTATTTGCAAGTTAATTTTACTGTGCTATTCAAATAACAAAATGGAATGTTGGATATTTCACTTGCCTGATTACCTCCAGGCCAAGTGTTCAAATCCAGTCAGGATCCACTTTTTAATTTTTATATAACTGTTTGCTTTAGCATAACAAATTACTGAGAAACAAAGAAACATACAGAAAAAAATCACACTATTAAGGATTTTATCTAACTAAATTTTTTGTCTGATCTGACTTAAGCTAACCATGTCAAGTGTTGTTGCTGTGGTTTCTATTACAAGTAGGTTTTGAAGCAGTGGAATTTACAGCTCCATATTCAACCAGTTTCTTTCTCCTATCCTGGTTGTTAACCAGTGTTTAAGAGCTCAGTCTATCCTGTTTTTTAATCCATAGCTAGCCTAGAGAAGAATTGGATTTTTACCTTTCCAAAGGGTATTTGTGTGAAACTGAGATGGAACTTGAATTCGGCTGACCAAATTTTCTTTTCACAACAAGAACTGCTACAATATCCATATTCCAAGCCAAGAACTGCTACAATATCTCATATTGCCAAAAAATAATGCAATATTTGAGTAATTTTGCAATTGCATTGGTTATATTTTCTGCATGAGTAATTCTAGGATTTTTCTTGATACAATTAATTTTATTGGCACATAGAATTTTACCTTTTTAACTCATTAAATGTATAAATATCCAAAGAAAGCGAATATGAAGCAAAAATAAAAAAAAAGCAATGTATTAGCAGCCTGTTCTCACTATTTACAAATGAGATATTCCGTTGTTAAGGTAATGTAAGTCATGTTTGCTTATTGATGTTACATAATGCCTCCTGTTACCATGACAACTAAATATCACATTTGCAAATATGGTAGATCAACTTGGCTGACGAATAAATATAGTCATGTAGTATTTTATATTATAGAATAGATTCTCTTAATTTTTGTTTAGCTTCTGTCAGATATCAGTGGTGGTCTTTCGGGTGTGGCTGGTGTAACGGAATGCAAAGTCAGAGAGCCAAATTCGTTACATTCACTTATGTGAAAATGCCCTTGGGAAAGGTATGAAACCATCTCCTCTTCCCACAGCTATGGAGTAAATAGTAGGACTTGGATCTGGAAAATTATTTTTATCTCCTCAAAATCATTAATGCAATATTAACTTGCCAAAAAAAAATTATTCTTGCAATCCAACATGTTTCGGCTTTAAATTAACCAAAAAGGGTTCATAAGTCATAAAAAAATCTTTCTCCCAGAAATTTTTTTTTCTAAATAATCTGGAATATGTTGATGGTGTAATGGATAGTGGCTTGGAATAAGTCATCAGAGAGCTGAGTTTGAATTCCAATCTGATTCATTATATGCTCCACTATAGGTTAAATAGTAAGACTTGTATCTGGAAAAATCAGTGTTGCTCTGAAGAAATTATTGATGCAATATTAACTCACAAAAAAAATCTTATTCTTACAATTCAAAAATATGTTTTGGCTTTAAATAACCCATAAAGGGTTGATAAGCCATAAATCATTCAATCAATAGCCTCTCTCAGTAATATTTTTTCTAAATAATCCATCATCCTGCTAAAAAATAAAAATGCTTCTGTTTGAAACAATAAAAAAAATAAAATTTACCTGGATTCTGTGTTTGGAATCTAAGATTTTTTCCTAAATTTCATATCTACCATCGTATCTTACATGCCAAAAAGTGCTGGATGGTGTTTATTATTTAATATTCCACTGCCATATTCCATTTTCCCTGCCAGCCTCACTATTATGCTCATCAATCTCTTTACTTTTCTGCTTCTCTAGTTTCTGATTTCTTCTTTTCTTTTTCTGATTGATGAGTTTGCTGTTTTTGTGACTATATAGGAAGAGTATGGAGGTAACCTTGAACCTGTTGCTGCCTCAACCTATACACCAGAGTTGGCTGTGACCCCAGCAGGGGATGAGAATACAGCCAATGACACTGATGACCAAAATGAATTATCTTACCAGCAGACATCACAACAATTACAACCTCAACAGCTTGATGATGGCATGCTCTCTGTGTGTACTTTATCTTACTATACTATTAGTTCTACTAAAACCCTCATTTTTTTTTTTTTTATTACTACATGAAAGTTTGTATCTAATGTTGATCTCCATTTATACACACTTATTTTATATAAATAATTCTTGAAAATGGTAGTAGATAAAAATGAAAAAGCTTGTCAATGACTTGAAGGAAGGATAGATTTAGTTAAATATTTTACTAATACAAAGCCTGCTGAAGGTGTCTAAAGTAACAGGACTTGAAATACTGTTTCCATTGATTTTTTTTTTTTTATTAGAACAATTAAATAGAAATTATTAAAATGGAATGCATTGAAAATGATGTGGACATTCTTTTTTAGCCATACAAGATGGAGATTATATAATGGTTTGAATTTTCTTCCATTTTTATTGAAGGAAGCATGATAAATTGAACATTTAGAATATATACCTTTTAATGCTGTTGCTGATTGTTTTGGAATGGCAGTTATAAAGAATGATTTCAATGAAGCTTGCAACCTTATTTAGCAGTGGCATGGATATTTTCTGCATGTATTCAATTGCTTATTATTGTTGACTAATTGATAAGAAAGATTTTATTTCTGTAAATTTCTCAGTGTTTTTATTTTTCTACTGATTACTTTAGAAAATGTTTAGTTGTTATAGATGTCATCAAAAGATTTCTTTCTTGCATATTTAATCTTATATGTCTATCTGTTTTCATATAGACAATTTTAAAAAGGGTTTTGTGTTTGTAAAACTAAAAATTATATCCGTGAAAATTTGCAGTAATATTTTAATTTGTATTCTGCCAGTATGCATGAAAGTTGGATTTAAAATAATTATCTTTATGGATATTTTGATTTTATTCTAAATAATTAGCTCTAACTAAATTACTGGAATATGATGAAATATTTGATTGTTTTAATCCGGGTACTAATTTTTATATAAATTCTTGCCGACTAGTCAAATAATTTTAAGCAGCAACAAAGATAAGGACAATGTAAATAGTGTAAATAATGATAACTCTTCAGTATCTGTCTATATTTCTGAGATGAGGTATTATGTACATTATTTACATTATTTGGACTATTGTCCTCATCTTTGTCGCCATATATTGACAATAGTCCGAATAATGTAAATAATGATAACTCTTCATCTCAGAAACTCAAAAAATTTTAAAACAAGTATGACTGAGGTAATTTTCAGAATTAGGCAAATTAATTTCTTTAAATAAGGCTTTTTATTTATTTTTTCAAATATGCTAGATGAAAAGGGATATGCTATTTCCTTTTGTATTGAGCAAATGCGTTATGCAATCCTTAAAATATTAATTCACTCACAAAGGTTAAAATAGAACAAATCAAACTAAAAAATTTTAAACTTCAGGTTTTAAATTTTGATTGGATTAAGATAAAATTACATTCTATAATTTTCCAAGGTAATATTTTTGTATTTCTATAAATGATCTTATATATAATTAACCACTTTTATCCTATTTAACTGAAGTTTTGTTATCTTAGAATGTTTGATAATACTGTTTCTGTTTAATTATATGTAAATTTTTGTATCAACCTTTAGCACTCTGCATTATTCTTATTACTTCCCTTTCCACTGCCTTCTTTTTCAAGGCCTCTTAATTGCAATATCTTTATTGTTAATTTTACTCCAAGTTGTTTTCTGTTGCCATAGCAGGATATGACAACACAACTATGAAATTCATACACACTAATGTTCCGTAATCATAGTGGCAGGATAAACTTTTTGTACAGCAAATGAAGTCACATACAGTGTGATAAAGATTAATTACATAATTTCAGCAAATATAAACTTAGCTTATGCGCACTTTTTATCTAAATACATTTCTCTTGGATTCTTTGTAGCATTTTCATTTTTTGCATTTGGGTCTTATTTGTAATAAAAAATTCTTTTAAGTTTCATACTCTTACTCATTATTCAGTCACATTGTCGTCATGTTTAAAAGGAAAATGAAAGATATAAGAACTTTACTTCATCTTTACAGCTTTGGTCATAAAAAAACAAGCTCTAGAGTTAGGAAATAACCACCTGGGGTACCCAACCACTTTGGGAATCACTGATCTAAACCAATCTTGCTTTTCATTCCTCTGATACTAATTCAAGATTCTTAATGGAAATAAATTTAAAAATTATGTGGAATGCTCTGAAAGTAACACCTCTTATGTATTTCTACAAAATGCAGGGAGCAAAATAGCACCATTGGATAGAGCAAACTTTCAGATACAAAAAAAAATATTTTTCCACATAGTCACCTCCACTATTGGTTACACATTTTTGCCAACAATGAACAAGAGTTCTGCACTAAATATATATATATATATATATATATATATATATATATATATATATATATATATATGAAATCCACTATTTCGCAGTAGCAATTGACAGCATCATTGTCAAGAAAAAGCTGAAATATGTTTAACTGTGCTTATATCCATTGTTTGGTCTTCATAAAGATTCAGCATGTATCCATGATGTCATTGTGTACACTATTTTCTGCATGGAGGAATTCCAAGATATACCCCTGTTCTGTGTGCACTTTTATGTCAGATGCCATTTTACCAGACTACTGCTCAGCAGGTATTTGTGGAAAGATTCAATCTCTTCAGCAGTAACATCCAGCATTTGCCTCTTATGTTGTAGATCAACATAAAAAGTAGGATTTTTTTTTATTTGTTCTCAGTTGAGATCATAACCACAACACCACACAAATAATTAATCTTGAGCTCCATAATCTTTTTAATGGAGTATACTATGCACTTTACCAGGGCTGCTTACTGGTTTTTAATTCAGAGTTGTCCTTCTCCTAGACTGGTTGCCAACAACTGCTAGAGAACTCAATCTGCCCAGTTATTTAATCTACAACTATAGGGAAAAAGAGACGAATTCATTCCTTTCCCAAGGGCATTTGTGCAAAAATAAATTATTTTAAAATAGGCGTTGGGCTTTTAAAATATGACAACCCTCTTTACAAGTATAGAAATATATGGTATCAACTATGGCAAAAAGTAGGAGATCTATTTATGAACTGGTTGTAAAGGCAAAGTCATCCCCTATTTAATATCCACTTGTTTAATTAAATATTGATGTTTTGCCAGATTTTAAACCCTGGTGCTATTAAATTTTGAACTTAATTTACTTCTCATTAGTCGGCTAAGTTTTACCCAGCTTATTCCAAAGGTAGTCCATAAAAGTCACAAGTACTAAAATTAAAAATTTAGTAGTACTGAGCCTTCAAAAGTAGCTCAATCTAACAACTCTACACTGTATTCTGCCTGTGTGATGATATATAAATTGCAATTCCCTGTCATACCATCTAGATCTGACAGCCAAAGCAAGAAATAAGGGTTAAGCACATATAAAAGTTAACATAAGAACAGCCTTTATTCTAGCTACTTATTTTATCAACTAAATGTTCACTCAATACAAGGCTCAAAAAACACGAAATTGTTGTATGGATGTAAGAGGAAGAAGTAAGTGCAGTTTATAAGGACATGTAGGATAGATAACAGTTGACTCTAGACTTGAAAATGTTAAGCTTGTACTGATCAGGGAAGCATCATCTTGGCATTCTGTTTCTCAAAGTAGCAGTTATGTCTATATTTCTGAGATTAAGTATTGTAACTATTTACTCTATTGTTTGGACTGTTGTCCTCATCTTTTTTGTTATATTCACAACATTTCGGCCCTTGTAAGCTCTGGCCTTCTTCAGGTGATATATGTTGGAATTTCAAAGTGAAACTTTTATTTCATCCACTGAGGTAGATTGTTCTAATTCCATATGCCATTCCTCTTCCAGATATATCAGCTTCAGTTATTTCCCTTTAGTAAGTTAACTCTCCAAGAGTGTACAACAGCTAAACATCATGAATATGACAATAAAGATGAGGACAACACACTGAACAATGTAAATAGTGTAAAAAGTAGCAGTTATCGGAAAGAAGTTGTCTGGATGAAACATCCTCCTTACTAATGGAATATGAAAGGAGTGAGGATGATTCAACCCTGTATGCACGGTGTGGCAGGTAGTAGCTGTAAATGTCTGAACTTGTAGAGCTAACGAATGTAGCTCGTCTGAACATTTATCATGGAAATAGCAACAGAATATCAATAGATTTATGACATTTCATCTGTAAGAAAGGGGCGCTAGTCTTGAAAATATTTTATTGCCCTCAAACCTGGAAAGTGAAGATTGAATAGCTCCAGTCCAGATATGGTAGTAATACGCCATTTTTGTTCTGATCTGACTCTTGTCAGGAGGATTCAGGTACTTTCTAGCTAGTACACTAAAAGGAACCAATCATTTTACAGCATTTTTAGCAATGGATCATATAGATGAGTTCCACTTGAGATATGGGTTGGATTTTAATCCCAGTAGATATTCAAAGTGGTATAGGGAACCAACCAGTTTTCCAACCTCTTTAGCAACGGATCATTTCACTTGATGTCTGGAGTGGACCTGAGTCCCAACTGAGCAGCCTCATTGAAAGCACAACCATTCAGCATGAATGGAATATATTCGGGGTGTTCAATGGTGATGAAACATTACTAGTTTTGAGTTATTGACTGTTACAAACTAATTTTTCCCTATTAAGCTGTTAGAGTTAGGCCAGATAATACATTATTATCATTTCCTTGGATTTCTGTTGTATAGACATTTCCTTCTGAGTCCCAACAAGAGACCTAAGGTCAGAAATGGCTTCATGACATTTTCCACTGATCATTTTTGTGTAAAAAAAACATCACAGACATTTTACATAGATAAAATTCTTCATAATGTATGAGCTATACATATGAATACAATTTTTTGTATTTTGTTAAGGCATGGGCTGCCAGGAATCTCTTCAGTGAGTCTATCAGAACCTTTTCCAATCAATCCAAGGGCTCCAATTACAAGTGGAATTATTGATGTCCTCATGTGCCATATTCTTGAGATTTCCACTTCAAGATCCTTGTATTTTGATAGTTTTTTTAGTTATTTTTTTAATGTTTTGATAGTTATTATTATTATTATTATCATTTTCATTGTTCATGTATGCTGATGCAGCTTGGTGGAAGAAAACTTGGTTGAAAAGTTCATAGCTAATGTGAAGAAATTGGAGCATATGTTCCTTAAATAAGGTATCCCAGGAAATAAGGACATTTTTTGAAGGTTTTCCTCTCATCCTGGTAGGGTCATAAAAACTGTAAATAGAATTATTAGTTGCAGCTTCTTTGTCTTATACAAACTTATCACATCCTGCTTTTTAGTAATTGATCACCCAATACAAGGTCCAAGAGCCACTCAAGGTAGCATAACTGAATGAGGTTGTTGTATGACCATAAGAGGAAGCAAGAAGTGTGGATTATGAATGAGAATATAGAGGAAAAATAAGGACTGACTCTAGACTTGAAATTGTTAAAATCGTAGTGGTTCTTGGGAATAAGATGTTTGAATGGGACTTCTTTCTTATTAATGGAATACAAGAGGAAAAGGGAGGATTTGTCCCAGTGTATGTAACATGTCTGGTATTAACTGTAATGGTCTGAACTGAATGAATGCGGCTTGTCAGTATATTTTCAGTTTTTTGTATACTTTTTTAAAAAAAAAAATATGTTATTCACTAAAATGACCATATTCATTGCATTACTGTTATTTCATTCTTTTAGGGGTTTCAATATTATTGCATAAATATCATTCTTCTCTAATAATTGAAAATAATATACCTTCTATCATGTAATCACACCTATTTTTGGAGGGATTTACATATTGGGTTTTATCTTTTTTTGTTCAGCATTCTTCAGCTCTTATATTGCAAGAATGTTATTGGCCATTTTCTCAATAGCATCATTGAAATGTCCTTTTCTTTCTGTTATCTCAACCATCATTTTTCTTTCCCCCTCCCATATCTATTTATTTATTTCTTCCTGTCACTGAGCAGAGCACAGTGAAATTGGACAACTGTCCCCAGGTGCATCAAAAGTAAAAAAAAAAAAACTAAAATGAAAAATGCATAATTATATATACACGTACACACACCATAGATGAAACTAACATGCACAGCATCAAATGAAGAAAAACAATGACATTTAAAATACATTTAAAATCTTTCAGCCTGCAGCAGTGTTCATTTTACAGAGGGCCCAAGGATAAAAGCTGTTTCTCAAGCACTTTGTCCTCAAACTAATAGATCTGAAACATCGCCCTGAGGGTAAAAAAAGTGGTACTCGGAATGCATGCTGTCTTTTGTTATATTTTCTGTTCTGCTGCAAGAGCAAGAATTAGAAATGTCCTCTAAGCAGTGCAGCAAGCAGCTGGTTATTTTCTGGCCAACATCTATAACTGTCTGCTATTATATATCAAACACTGATGTTGTACACCAACATACTCTCAGTAGAACAGCTGTAATTTTTTTTTTTCTCAGTAAACAGAGTTGCTGCTGTACCTTCTTGACAATTGCAGTGATATTTCTAGGGCAGGAGAGAATTATCTTGCAGCCTTTGTACCCAGAAAATTAATTTTATTGACTCTCTTCACACTGACCCTAGTAATAACCAAAAATCCAGGTCCTGTAATTTTTTTTTATTTTATTTTTTTTTTTATTTTTACTAATGTTCCTTCAACACAAAGTCCAAGAGCCACTTGACGTAAAGAATTACTGAAGGAGTTTGTTGTGAGAGTGATAAGAGTAAGAGGCGGGAAAGATAAGTTAACCCTAGACTTGAATATGTTGGGGAAGTATCCTCTTGGGAGTTGGTTCTAGAAGATAGCAGTTTATGGGAAGACGCTGTTTGAGTAGAACTTACTTCTCACTAGTGGAAAACAAAGGGGAAGAGAGTGGGTTCGCTACAGTGTACATGGCAAGTTGGGTCCTAGCTGTGAAGGTTAGAACTGGTGGAGATGAGGTGTTTAATTACTTGTCTTTGACATTTATATACATTTAAATTGCACAAAGTAAGGAAAAGATTCACTGAAACATAAATAATTACATCCATTATAAATGGAGAAACATAAAAAATTATTACATTCACTAATTTTAATAGTGGAATGAGGTGGAAAAATTAATTTTATTTCTCTTTTGGCTGTAATTTTAACAAGAATTTTTTTTTTTTTTACAATAATTTTGACAATATTTCTTATCAAAGATATCAAGGTTTACTGAAATGGATAAAAGTTTTTATCAGTTCTTTGTTATAAAAATGTATCAAAATAATTTATACTCCACAATTTCATTTTGTTTCATATTTTGATAATTTAATTTTTCACATAAACAAATTGGTTTAAATCTTCACCCAAACTTCAAAAAATTCCATCAAAACTTTTTTTGAAAAGAAATGCCTACACTCAAATCAGATTGAAAACACCAGTTCTTGTTTGGTCACCAAAGTTAAGCAATGTCAAGCCTGGTCAGTACTTAGATGTAGAACTGTTTTCAAACACTGGGTATGTAAACAACCTCTTACAATCTGAAATATGTCTTGGCTTCAATAACCTACAAAAGGTAGATAAGCCATAAAAAGAAATCAGTCTTGAAGAGAAACAATTTATTCCTGTGGACCTAATGTGGAGGTTTTCTCTTTATAAACATTTTAGAGAGTTTTATTTAAATCTTCATCCAAACTTTAAATTTTAAGTAAATGCAAGAATATTTTAACCTACATCATCTTTTTACAGCTGTTGAAAATCTTTCCTCTCCTCAGCACCTTCCACCCCACAAGAAAAAGATTTTTAGATAATGCAGAAACAATTTTAACTTTTGCCCTTAGTTTTTGATCCAAAGCACCAATATTTTGTTGTTGTTATTTTTGTATTTATTGTAGCTTTTGATATGAGAATTTTATTTCATTTGTAAACATTCTTTCCTTTTGTAGACGGGACAGAAAATTTCCAAAAAACCTGGTAAGTCTATTTTTGCTTTTCTTTGTGAACGTTGTTAGAATATTTACTGCTCCTAAAGCCAATTTCTGAATGATTTTACAAGTTTTGTTCTCTTGTGTACAGTCAGGTACTTAATTTCATTTTAGTGATTAAAAAGTAATTGATGTTATTCATTATTCCATCAGTTATTCAAACTAATATCTAAATCAGTGTTTCTCAACCATTTTTTTTTTACTTCAGGGTGCAATTGTAGAATAACTAAAACTCTAGGGCACACTTTAAATTTTAATAAGGAAAAATTAGTCATGACATTTGAAATTTAGCATCTACTTTAAAATATGACTTAGACATGGCAACCATATGCTTGATGTCTCTAGTTTTTTTAAATATAAAGATTTTTTTTTTAATATAAATATAATTCATAAATTACTCTTCTGTTAATTTGGGGTGCATCTGGCTACCATTCAGGGTGCATTAGTGTGCCTGGTTGCACTGCTTGAGAAACGTTGTTCTAAATCTTTCTATTTTTCTCATGTTTTAACCAATTCCTTAAGTTAGGTCTATATCCTCATTTTTCTTATTAACTGAGCAAGACTATAGAAAGTGAACAAGACAACTAATCCTTAGGCATGGACAACAAAACAAGAACAATCTTTACCTGTAGATAAAATAAAAGATACAGTTTGAAATTCCCTGAATTAACAGATATCTGAAGATGACCACAGAGCACAACAGCCAAAACATTGTGATAGCAATAACATAGGAGATATTATTCCATATGTAAATAACGATAACTCCTCATCACAGAAATTCAAACACCCAACTTATTATTTACATATGGACTATGATCCTCATCTTTATTGTTATTAACACATTTTGGCTGTTGTGTCCTCCAGCCTTCATCAGATGCTTGTCGATCTGGGTAGCCTTGAAAGAATTTCAAACTAAACCCTTTATTTAATTTATAAGGTTAGATTGTTCTCATTCCACTGACCATGTCTAGGGATATCTTGTCTAGTTCTTATTTAATATTTCTCCATTATTGTTTTCCCCATTTCCAATGAGTCCATGTGCACAATACCAGGCCCAGGGATAGAACCCACATTAGTATGTCATCAAATTTGCAAACCAAAACTTTAATTCACCAAGCTATTCTCCCTCGAGACATGTACTTGGACTGTGGAAATGGAGCAAGTGATAACCGGGCAATATAAAAGGAGATCTAGACATTGTCAGTGGAATTAGAACAATCTACCTTCATAGATTAAATAAAGGGTTAATTTTGAAATTCCTTGAAGGTTATCTGGATTAACAAACACTTTTTAAAGATGGTCAAAGGGCACAATAGCTGGAATATTGTCATAATAACAACAAAGATAATGACATTTATCTGACTGTATGTAATGTAAATGATGATTACTCCTCATCCCAGAAATTCAGACAGAAAGCCAGTTTAGACTTTTGCCTTTTTCAAGTGTATAATTCATACAATAATCCTCTGGGTTTTTTTATACAGTCTTATCCAATGACAAAGAAAAAGAACTTGGTCATCAGCCTGGAAAATTTTATGTACTGAACAGAATAATGCAGATACTGATTACCCATTGTCAGTCCATGTAACAATATTTTTTCTTAGTTATGTCTTTTTTTCCTCTGTGGATTGAGCAGAAATCACGACATCGTACTGGATTTAAAACTGTGTCTGCTTATTTGGTCTTTTATCAAGGACACTGGTATGACCTTCTTAAAAATTCTCTTTTGACTTTCCTTACTGAATGAGCTTGACACTTGAAAAAGGCTAAAGGATACATCAACCAAAACATTGTAATTAAAAATAAGATACTAGTCTGAATGACTCCTGAGATAATCAATATGACACATTGTACAATTTTTGACATGCTATAATTTTGTTAGTGAAGAGAAGCAGGTATATTTTGTATCATTTTTTTTTTTTTTTAATGAGTACTCGGCTAAAACTGATAATGTTATTTTTTCAGAAATAGCTTCTGTGATTGCTAGCTATACAGCGACTGGCCCAGAGCAACTGTCTCTGCAACCAGGCCAGTTGATCCAAGTGCGCAAAAAGAGCCCAAGTGGTTGGTGGGAAGGGGAACTGCAGGTAAATTTTATGCTTGTAAATGAGTACTTTCCTCTTTGTTTTATTTTGTATTTATATTGCCATTTCTAAAAAGATAAACTTTTTTTTTGTTTTTGAGGAGTAGGTCTAGAAGTTTCAAATTCATTGTTAGCCCAGATTTTGTAGCCTCTGTTGCACTGTATATACTAATAAAAGAAGAAATCTTCAATCCTTACTGACAAAAGATGAAATTGCTTGTAAATTGCATTTAAGATGGAATGGCTACATTTAAGAGCTAATTATATATTATAATATAAATGTTAAATTCTTGATAAGAGACATTTTTTAAAGCAAAGAGCAAAGAAAACTAAATCAAAAAATAATAGTTGATATAGATGGCAAATTGAAAGAAAACAGGGAAAAAAACTTACTGGTTTTCATTCTTTGGAACTCAGTCAAGAATAAAAAAGATGTTTAAAAATTAATAAAGACGAGATATACACATTTTTCCTGCTTTTTCTTCTTTTCATTTGTTTATGATAATTATAAATTTCCTTTTTCCTTGCTCTTTGTCTTAACAATGTCTGTTTTATTGGCTATAATAAAAAATTTTGTACACCCCAAGAAAATAATTAAAAGTAATAATTGTCTTAGTTGTTGTAAATAATGACAAGGATTACAATTTGGAACAAGTTGAAATTCGCAAGAAAAAAAAATCACAACACTACTTAAATTAACTATTTATATAAGGAATTTAAATTGACTATATAATGAATTTAATTTTTTTTTTTTTTAAAGATAAAACATTTTGGCTTAATGTTAGGGAAATCATGGAATTGAAAAAAATCATTATTTTCTATTTTTTTTCTTTTAAAAAACATTTTGGCTTACAAGTCAGTGAATTTTTTAATGCAAGTTGAAATGAATTGAATGACATGTTTATCTTTTTTTAGATTGAAAACTGATAAATGCTAAATGTTTTTTAAGTAATATATATTTGTGGATGCCCATGTGACAACCCATGACTGAGTGACTCCTGACCTGGTATAAGGAATTTCCACAACAAACCACTTTGGTCCCAACCTGGTATAGACAGATGGATGGAATAGCCCAATCTAACCAGCTAGTTACATAGTAGCAAGTGTTAGTTGTGATGAAAAGGAATGGCTATGACATGGTTGCAAATCCTTACACCATACTATACTTAGATAGATATGGTGGGGGAATGCAGATGCAGATCATGTCTACTGTCTAGCCCTGACAGATCAGGGTGAATGGGATTAGTCCCTCCTGATAGTGTTGCTTAAAAAGTTCCTCTGAGGCAGGTGGGGAGTACAGATGATGAATACAAAAACAAAATTATATGACTAACTCTTATAAATGATCCAAGAGACAAAACAAAAACTCTGAAATGGAAAGTGACAATGAAATATCAGGAAAAAAAAAAAATTTTCATAGTCATAGAACATAAGAGGGTGAAATAACAAAAGTGTCACCTTTTGTATTTTAAAAGGTTATATCAGCCATGATAAAGACAAAATCAGTAAAATAAAAAAAGAAAAAGAAAAATAAAGAAAAATAACACTTATAATTCAAGTAAAAACCAAAAAACAATATGAAAATAAAGGCTTACCCCCATCAATTTCTTAATTCCTATAAAATGCCCAGAACTGTCACTCTACTTACTGGAAGAAATTAAAAATGATGATACCCTAAGAAACCAAGGTGTAACAGATGTCAAAAGAAAACAAATAAAAAGAAATGGCACATCAATAAACACATACATTTTGACATTCAACAAACTTATCCTACTGAAAGGAATAAAAATAGGATACACAATATCCAAGGAAGAGCCATAACATCCCTAACCCACATAAATGTCACAAATGCCAGAAATTTGGCCATCTACGAAATCAATATATGAGAGTACCATTCTGTCAAAGATGTGGGAAATTAGAGACTGATCATGAAGAGTCACCCTGTGAAAGGCCCTCCTTCATACCCAAACTGCAAACAAAACCATTCAGCAGATTCTAAAGAGTATAACATCTAAAAAAAGAAAAAGCAAATAATAAGAATAAAATACACACAGAATATCTTGTTCTAAGAAGCTAGAAAACAGGTCGAAACTAATTCACTTCCAGCATCATGTGCAACTACTACCAAAATAACAAATCACCAAAATGATATACAAGAGAACAACACAATAAGAAACCAAGAACTTACAACTCTAATAAATGAATTAAAAAAAACTAATAGAACAACTAAAATTTAGTATACCACATATAAATTAAACACCCATAGTCAAAAGAAATCCTATCAACTTCAAGCAAAAAAGAATCTATAAGTACAAAAGAAATAACTTTGAAAACCCCTATCCAAAGTACAAAAATCCTTCAAGAAAAGAACTCTCTAGACATTCACATGAGAAACAAAAGGTTCATAAAAGAAATTATAGAAGCTAGTAAATCAAAGAAGAACCAAGAGAAATGGACATAGATGAACAAAAATCTATCTCGCCTCAAATAAGGAACAGTCATCATCCAGACAAAGAATTTCCAAAAGAACCTAACAGAAAAACAAATCAAACAAGCAGAAACAAAAGACCCCTGAAGAACAAAACATGACAAGAAACAAAGTACTAACAGACCAGAGATCATAGAAATTATGGACACTTCACTCACTAAACATAATCCGGACAAGCAAAAACTCATAACACCCTAATACATAAGCATGATGCAAAAAAATTATACAGGGGAATTGTTGAGGCCTAAAAGCGAACATGAATGAACTACTCCTACTCATAATGAATCAACTTCCCGCTGTCATTTGCCTTTAAGAAACATTCCTAAAACCAAATGATAAAATAAAAATAATAATCTGTACTCAATATAACTACATACATGACATTCAACAGAGAACATCTGGGGGTGTATCAATCCTAATCAGAAATGACCCCCCCCCCAAGTAAAATACTTCTAGAAACTAATCTACAAGCAGTTGCTACAAAAACTACCCTACATAGAACCGTTAACATTTACTCTATTTACATCCCACCTCATAAAAGAAATTGATCTAAATAAACTAATAGAACAACTACTGAAACCATTCATATTATTAGGTGACTTTAATAGTCACAATGTTATATGGGGATCCAAGAACTTGGACAAAAAGAGGAAAAACCTGGAAAATGTAATTAACAACAATTATTTATGTTTACTAAATGCTAAGTCTAATACATATCTACACCCTGCATCAGGTACATACTAAGCTATTGACCTATCACTGTGTGATCCTCCCCCACCCTCTATTTTTATGGATTACAGTTCGCAAGTACATGACAATTCATGCAGCAGTGATCACTACCCATTTATATGGAAGGCAGCAGAACCAATTGAAAACAATCTCTCCTGATGGAAACCAAACAAAGCAGACTGGAGAATATAAAAACCAATCCTGTCAAAAACTAACAGGCAAAGACAACAAAAAAAAATCGATTTTGGATATTTCTCTAAAATATTAATGGCATTTGTGAGAAAGTGCATACCAAAAAGCACTAAATCAAATAAACATCAAAGACCATGGTTCAACGAAGATTGCAGAAGGGCAATAACATTACGTAGAGCAGCACTATGAAAATTTAATACTCAACCTACAACCCATAATTTAAATCTGTTCAAACTAAATAGAGCAAAAGCATGCAGAGTCATCAAAGAAGCTAAAAGAAAATCATGGAAACATTACATAAATAAAATACGCCCCCCCCCGCACACACACACACCAAAAAAAAAATAATAATAATCTGAACTTTATCTCAAACAACAATGAAGATTACAACCATCCTTTTACCCTAAATGAACTTACAGCTTCCATAAGCGAATCACATAACACAGCTACTGGCCCAGATGAAATTCATTATGAATTTCTTAAACAATTCCCCCCACCCCCTAAAAAATCCATGAAATATCTGTTAAACATCTTTACTGAGATATAGTTTAAGGGCAAATTCCTGAATAGCTGGAAACAAGCTACAGTGTTCCCTTTACCAAAATCAGATAAAGACAAATCAGACCCAAAAAACTTCTGACCCATAACATTAACAAATTCCATATGCAAAAACCTAGAAAGAATAGTGAATAAGAGACTGAAGTGGTACCTTAAAACTAATGGTTTAATTACCAATCTCCAGAGTGGATTTCTAAACAAAAGAGGCACCATAGACAACACGCTTCGTCTAGAAACATTCATTAGAGAGAGTTTTCATTATTCAGACTATTGTCCTCATCTTTGTCGCTATATTTATTACATCTCAGCCGTTGTATGTTCCAGCCTTCTTCAGATTCTTTGGAATGTTGAACTGAACCCTTTATTTCGTTCACTGGGGTAGACTGTTCTAGTTCCACGTGCCATGTTTAATGAATGTCAGTGGATACAAGCGTTAGTTAGATCCAGTGACAGGACCCAAAGAGTGTGAGTTCAATACCCAGTTAACTTGGAGAGGGGAATGAACAGGAGATAACTGATAACTGACATGGCACGTGGAACTAGAACAGTCTACCCCAGTGAACGAAATTCAATTTGACATTCCAACCACCTGAAGAAGGTCGGAGCATATAACGTAATAAATATGGTGACAAAGATGAGGACAATAGTCTGAATAATGTAAATAGTGTACAATAATACCTCATCTCAGAAATATAGATAGATACAGAGAGAGTTTTATTAAAAAAGAACATGCAATAGCCATTTTCTTTGATCTAGAAAAGATCTATGAAACAACGTGGAGATATGGAATAATGAAAGACCCATACAATCTTGGATTGAAGGGCAGATTACCCACTTTGATAAATAACTTTTTGTCAGATAGAAGTTTCAAAGTTTGTGTAGGATCAACTCTCTCAGACCTAAAAATCCAAGAAGGAGTTCCACAAGGTTGCATTCTGTCTGTCACTCTTTTTAACATAAAAATTAACAACATTGTTAATTGCTTAAATTGAGGAATTGATAATTCATTATATGTAGATGACTTTTTTTTTCTGCAACAGATAAAAAAAAACATACACTGCAGAACAACAACTGCAACTTTAATCAGATAAAAGTAATTGGAGAAAAAGTATCAACTAAGGAAAAGAAAGCCAGAAGACAGCTGAACAAATTCAAATCTTAGAAGAGAAGCATTTAAAGTTGAAAGAAAGCATCAGAAAAGAACTCAAGGCAGGAACATTGCAGAACTTAGCAAAGATGGTAATCCTGAACTTACAGAATAGAAGGCAAAAGGAAGCGAGAAGCATCGGAAAAGAAATTACAGAACTTACAATTCAAGAAAGTAATGAATCCTATCACATCTTATATTTGGAGTAGAGATGTTACATTGTATATGATGAGAAATTTTATATACTACAATATGTATTTCTTTGTCCATTCATCTTTTTTCCTGTACCCTGGCACAACTATATACTTAATACTGCCTGTATATCTGTTATGCAATGTCCAAACATCAATGGAAATTATCAGGGAATTTAATCAATGATTAAGCTGAGAGCCCGGAATATTTTTGCATAAATTTTTATATTAACTGTATTTAATGATTCTTTCAGATGAACTTCCTTATCTCTGTTGTGTTTTATCACAATGTCTAAAATCCCTAGGAAGGATACTAAACATGACAGAAAACGAGATTAGAACAGATAAAATGTTCTGTTTAAAGTTCCTGAGGAAGACCACAAAGTATAGTAGCCGAAGCATGGTAAGGCAACAAAGATGAGGATGCTAATTCAGAAGAATGATTGAATACTACCTGAAAATAAATTTTTGATTTTGAAGCTAAAACTATTTTAAACATTTAATATCGTTCTACAGGCAAGAGGACAAAAGCGAAAAATTGGCTGGTTTCCTGCAAATTACGTTAAACTTCTTGGTTCCTCCAGTGCACGCTCAACACCTGATATACAGAGTGCTGTATCATCTAGCCCACTGCCACAGGTAGCGGTAAGGGTCATTTTTTTTCTGGTCTCTAATTATTTGCATGATTGTAACATATACATGTGTTTAATGCATTCATTGCAGCCATAATTATTATAATTGCCATACTTATTATAAAACCTAGGTTGTGTGTGTGTGTGTGTGTGTATGTTTATATATTGGATCGGATTTCCTACATTTTTCAACCGATTTCAACAAAACTTCACAGGACTACGTAAAATTACCTTGCGGTGGTTCTGACAGTGCCAAAAATTGGAAAAACAATTGTTTTTGCACAAAATCAATTTGAAAACACGATTAAGCATCGCTGTCGAGAGAATGAAACAACCTGGGTTTTATAATAAGTATAACTCATATCGAGTTATACTTATTATAAAATTCAGGTTGTTTGTGTGTGTGTGTCTGTGTTCGTTTATATATGGGATCGGATTTCCTACATTTTTCAACCCGATTTCAACAAAACTTCACAGAACTTTTTAAAATTACCTTGCAGTGGTCTGATTGTCTTGCACTTTTGAAAAAAACACAATTGTTTTTGCACAAAATCAATTTAAAAACAAGATTAATTGTTTGAGAATGAAAGGGGGACAACTCATATAGAGTCATACTTATTATAAAACCCAGGTTGTTTGTGTGTGTGTGTGTGTGTGTCTGTGTTCGTTTATATATGGGATCAGATTTCCTACATTTTTCCATCAATTAAAACAAAACTTCACATTTTTTTGGCAGGTAGTGTTTCTTACTGTCTTGCACACTTTTTTCTTTATTTTTACATTCAGAATGCTTTAAAAATTCCATTTACAAGACCATTGTTTATAATAAAATTCTATTCAATCGGTAGACTCATTAATTGATTTTGTTTGAGTTTGGGTTTGGTTTGAACAAAAAAAAAAAAAAAAAACTAATTAAGACATGCGTGTCCGTCAACCTTAAACAATAATCTTTGTCAATTTTATTTCTCAGTCTTTATGATGGTCGATACTTGATCTATCTCTTACTGTTATATCCCCGGGCAACACCGGGCTCTACTGCTAGTTCAGTCTAATTTCATGGAATATGTTACACAAAAAACTATGCCTATTCCTTTGATTCTTGTAAGATAATTTTTTGTGTTTAAGATTTCAAATTTTATTACCAAACCAACTGACTTAAAACATAAAACAAATAAACCTTCTGAATGTTTTTGTCACAGTTCCACACTTACTCCTTACTCAAACACTTTAATCCTCTCTAAAAAGTTGGATGGAAAGGAATTTTCAAAGTCTTTTATGAATTTTTGATTAAATATAGTTCCACAATTTCAATATGACAAATATAATTTAGGCTTTCCTTTTAAAAGATTATATTGAAATAGAAAAATAATGTGATAAATTTCTCAAAGAAACAAAATTTTTCATATTTATAACTTTTAAAAATATTTAAATTCTAAATGTGTTATGTGTGTGCAAAATTTTTCAGTATTTTTTATTTAAATAAAAAATGCTGGAAACATGAAAAAAAAAAGGTTTCTATTCTGTCTGCTGTGGAATATTTGGCCATGGTTAGGTGTAATTGACTAAATTCTCATCAAGCAGAATTGACAAAGTTCTCAATAAACAATAAAAAGAGGAAGAAAAAGAACAAGTCAAAATAATACTAAGCAAATAATATATATAGGCAAAATGTTCACAAAATTCAGTCAAGTGGTTATAGTGTTTTTACTTTAAGACAAAGAGAACAAAAATATGAGGAATGAGACCAAACATTGTCTCTTTTTATTGGTTAGAAAGAAATCCCAGCATGCATCTGTAGGATTTTTCTAAAAATTTGGAGAGGGGAAGTTCTCAGCATTCATTCCTTACTTGAGGGGAACCAACAGTAATCAATATCTAGGGAAAAAAAAATAAAAGGAAATGTTTGCACACCCCTAATAAATTAATTTTAATTTTCTCTTAAAATAATTTTAGAAATAAAGGCACTAAATAATCAGGTTAATATTGTCTGAGTTGTGGAGGGTGTCAGGAACTACAAATATAGATAACCATTCTTGCCTTCATCTACTAATTAATATTAGTAGATGAAGATAAGAATGGTTAAAAAAAAAATTTTCTCCATAACTTTTTTTTGGTGAGTTTGTAATGACATATCTTTAAATTACAGGGAAGCCGTACAGGCACACCAGCACCTGCATCCACTCAGCAATACTGTAAGTATGGCTGTTTCATTTTTGCTTTTTCTTATCAGCTGTTTTTAATATATATATATTTAGAAATAAGACATCCTGAAATAAGCATAAAAGACTGTTGAGTAAATCAAATAACAAATACTTTCACTATTGTAAATGGAACATCAATATATACAGGCTAATGGATGGCTATAGGAGATTAGAGCATCTCAAAATAGATCAGAGAAAATCAGTTTCAAATCACATCAGAGATCAGTTTGGAAGTAAAAAAAAAATAAAGAAAAAAAAGACAATTATTAGATTGGTTTTGTTTGTTTTACGGCATATCAACCTCAATGGGTTATTTAATGCTGACAAGATTTTTATTGCTGATAATATTTTTTGGTTTGGTTTGTTTTACGGCATATCAACCCCAATGGGTTGTTTAATGCCAACAAGATTTTTTATTGCTGGTAATATTTTTTTCTTCAAAAATTTATTGCTGGTAATAATTTTTTACAAAGTATTTCTGGTATTAAAACCTATTTTTACACTTTCATAGTGTTTTGACTCCAGTTTGGTGGTTAACTATTTGCCCATAGCTGGGACCCTAACAGGTGCTACCACCCCAGGTTCGGATGGACCAGGGAACACCAGCAATTCAGAGGTGGTTCCACACTCCTCAAAACCTGATCAAAGGCCTTGCTGTTTGATCTAGTTTATCATCATACCCAGGACAGCAATTTATTGGAGCTTCTGGTTCTGGGGTCATTCATTCAGTCAGTCAAATGCCGGTGATGATGATGATGTTTCCTTCAATTTATGACTGGCTAGGCTGAAAATTTCCCACATTAGGCTGTTGTTGTTTTTATTTCTGCGGTAGACTATCAACTATGGCTATAGGGTGCTATCTTTCCTGCTATTCATTCAGCCCATTACTGGGGAAGAAGAGATGTATTCATACCTTTTCCAAGGGTATTTCCACATCAGCCACCTATGGTATATTACTCTAATTACATAACTCAAAAGAAAAATAGAACATACAGCAGAATACCACAAGTGTCACTGAAGACAAGCCTACAAATCCACAGAAATATAAAACAAAGACTATAATATAAAATTTGGTTGACACAACTGATCTGAGAGATGTTATGTAAATTAAACAGATACAGATATATTTATTACTCACAATGTTATTTCTGGAGGATACACATGTTTTGAGTAGATGCCCAGTTTTTCTTTTAAACGCTATTCAAGAGACGTAATAAAGAAAATGTACTTTCTGGCATGTACCTCATACCTCTCTGTACAGGGAAACCACCATCTGATCTGGCATGCTTCAGATGTCTCAGCCACATAAAGCATCACAGTCCATTTTCTTTATTAAGTCTCTTGAATATGCAGTCTGGTAAACATGATTCAAACTGTTTAAAAAGAAAACAGGGCATCTAATCAAACTAAATAATTGTATCCAATGATATAAAAAATAACATTTGCAGTAATAAAAAATGTCAGATCAAAAATAAAATCCATTAATTCTTTCAATGTGTTTATAATGTATATTTTTCCAATAATTATAATTGAGTGATTATATGAGGTTCTTTTTCTTAATACCTTTTACTGTGTTTCTTTATATTTATTAACTTTAGTACAGCATGTGACCAAATAAGGGGATAGTATAGAGATGGGAAGAATGATATGTACCTATTAACCAAGTTAGGATAACCTATCTGCCTTGAAACCCAGTTGGGGTAATCTACCTGCCTTGAAATGCAGTATTCCAAATCCTGTCTTGGGTTTGAACTCTGACAAATAAAGTTGATCATGTGTGGAAAAGATAGTAAGGGACATGACAAAATTGTGATCATGTGATCATCTGCTGGGCAAAAGCAGATTAATGATGTTGTGTTGTGGAAATTTAGAAACACTAAAAGTGAAATCTGCAAAACTTAACTAAATCTGAATACATACAGTGAAATCTTGAAAGGCCAACCAATTATTGTAAAATTAAACTGATTCCTATTTTTTATCAATGAAAAAAAGAACTTTTCCTTTAATGATTTTTGATTGGACAGAACTTCTTTTTTTTTTTTTTTTTGATTGGTTAAGATTTATTTAGTTTCTTCTAAGAAATGAGCCTACAAGTATAATTTATGCTTGAATTAGTTTAATATCATGATGTTAGCACAATTATCTCAGCTACAGAGCAGCTTCCAAATTTTTTATAATTGGCATCTTACGCGGATGACACTACAATTTACTCCTGCCTCAAAAACAAATCTAGTGTCACCGACAAAACTAACCTGGTCGTACATCTCGAAAAGGACCTCCAATCGGTTGTGAACTGGGGCAGGAATTGGCTGGTCAACTTTAATGCCTCAAAAACAAAACTGCTCTCTATTAATCACCACAGAGATCCTTCCCTACCACCCATTAGAATGTCTGACACTCAAATTCTCAAGAGCACCTCTCTGCGGCTACTCGGCCTCACATTGACTGCTGACCTGAGATAGAACGAATACATTGAGTCAATTGCTTCATCCACCGCAAGGAAAGTTTGGCTCCTTGTGCCGCACCAGGAAATTTTTCTCCCCGGAATTGATCCTTCAGATCTACAAATCAACAATTCACCCTTGCATGGAGTATTGCTGCCATATATGGTCTGGAGCCCCTTCTGTTTGCCTCGGGGTTCTTGATAAGATCCAGAGGCAGATATGCAATGTAATTGGCCCTGTTCTGGCATCTCGTCTACAGATGCTCTCTCACAGATGCATCGTTGCCTCTCTCTGTCTTTTTTACAAATACTTTCATGGTAATTGCTCCGAGGAGCTGCATTCGCTGGTTCCCAGACTTCATGAATTCAAGCGCCCTACGAGGCTGGCATCCTGCTCTCACCCTTTCATTGTTGAAACTATTAAATGTAGCCGTCTCTTCTACTCCAATAGCTTCATATCTCGCACCTCTCGCTTGTGGAACTCCCTTTCCTATTCCAGTTTCCTTGAGAGCTATAATCTCCAACTATTCAAATGTAATGTCAATTGACATCTGCAGTTGCCTTGATCTATCCACTATCATTCTCCTCATTCTTTCCTCTATCACTCTTATCTGATCTTGCTCCAAATCTTTTGTAACCCCTTGCATCCTAGTGGCTTCCTGTCTTGCTTGGGGTGAAACACTTAAAAAAAAAAAAAAATTATCATTATTTGTATTATCAGAGTATATAGAGTAAAATTTCTATATAGTTTTTTAACCAGCATTAATAGATATTATCACTTTCTCTTGTCATAGACAGGATGTTCTCATTAAAATATGTACACTTTCAATAATTAAAAAGCTAATCTTGGAGACCAATTCACTACTGTAATGAGTTTTATCCTTATGTCTTTCTCCCTCTTGTGGCCTCCGTCCTGGGTATGATGATAAACTACATCCGTGTCCTGGGTAAGACGATAAACAGCAAGGCCTCTGATCAGGAGGCTTTGAGGAGCATGGAACCACCTCTTAATTGCTGGTGTTCCCAGGTGGTAGCACCTGTTAGGGTCCCAGCTATGGACAAATAGTTAACCCCAAAACTGAGGTAAAAAGCATTATAAAATATTACCAGCAATACATTTTTGAAAAAAAAAAAACTATTGCCGGCAATACGTTTTTGGAAAAATCTATTGCCAGCAATACATTTTTGAAAAAATAATATTACCAGCTATACTTTTTTAAAAAAATATTATTACCAGCCATACTTTTTTGAAAAAATAATATTACCAGCTATACATTTTTGAGGAAAAAAGTATTAACAGAAATAGATTTTTGACAAAACAAAAATATTACCAAGAAAAAAAAAGTTGTGAGCATTAAATGACCCATTGAGGTTGATATGCCGTAAAACAAACCAAATCAAACCCTTGTGGCCTTATGCCAGACTAAGCTATACTGAGGAAATAATTATCTAATTGTTCAGGTGCCTCAGTGGGAGTGTAATAGTCAGCAGTCTATTCTCACATATGAATAGTGAGCTAGATCCTTACCATTATCCTCTCATACCCAACTAAACATGCTGATTCTTGTACAATCATCAAAGTTAAGCAATGTCGAGCCTAGTCAGTACCTAGATAGGTGACCACATGGGAATACAAGATGCTGTAAGCTTGGATGTTTGGGTGGTATCACAATCAAAGTTAAGCAACATTAAGCCTGGTCAGCACCTAGCGTGGGTGGTATAATGGACAGCTCAGAATTGGAAGTCAGAGAGCCAAATTCCAATTCCAGTCAGGTTCATTATATTACACACAAAATACCCTTTGAAAAGCTGTGGATCCACCTCTTTTCTCTTCAGTTGTGGGCTAATTAGTAGAACTTGATTCAGTAAAAATCATTATTATCTCCCCAAAATTCTTGCAATCTGAAAATATTTTCAAGCTTTAAATAAGCTATAAAAGCAAATAAATCAGTCAATCAATGTACCAAATTAAGCTATGATTAGTAAATATTTATACATGTAATTAGTGATACTTAATGAAACACTTTTATAATGAAGAGTAACTGTTATAAATAAAATTTTGAAGTGTATTGCCATGTTATTGAGTTCACTGATCAGATAGTGCTGAGTCATCAAAACACAACTTTTATGGGGTACTGAAGAAGAAAAATCTGTGGACAAAAATACACGTGAAATCACAGATGCCACTTGTCTTGTACCGCCACATGCCCACTGAAATAACAAAATGCAGAATCATGTCTCAAAAGGTGTCAATAGCTGCCCTTAACATGTAAACAGGTTGTTGACCTTGCTGTGTTTGCAATGTACAACAACTGGATGACTCAAAGTTATATAAGTACCCTACCTGAAAGGGAAAAGCCAGAATTTTTCACATACTTACTAGAAGAAGATCCACAGTTGAAGAAAGTCCTTAAAGCCACATCCTCTCAGAGGTGTATAAACAATAGTTTTTATATTACTTCAAACAGTTCAGCAAGTCTACATTTTTCTTTTTTAAGGAAAGCACATCCTCTTCATTTTTATGGGTTATTTTTCTTGAAAGCCCTTTTCTACTCACTTTTGTATCCAAAATGTAAACAAAGCAATTTCTAAAGAATTAATGGATTTATTTTTTGTTTTTGTTTTTTTCAAATGTTATTATAGTGGAATTTTCAAATGTTATTATAGTTAGATTATTAAACAGTGTGTATTACATCTATCAGCCAGAATATTTGAGAAATCTTAATATTTGAAGCTGTAAAAAAAATGTATTAAAAATAAGTCCAATAATTCTTTAGAAATTGTCTTGTTTATCAGCCGATATAGGCTTTTGTGAAAAATAATTTGAATGAAGCAGATGTGCATTCCTTTAAAGGGGACAATCAAGCCATACTTAGCTATGGTGTACTTCATGACCAAGCAGTAAAGCACACCAGGTCAAATGGTAGTTTTCCCTACAAAGATGGATGCAGGTTCAATCCCTGCCAGAGGATATATTTTCCTTATTAAGATTTCTCAAATGCACAGGCCAATAGAAGTAAAAAGTTTAGAATTTTTAAAAAAAATGAGGCCTTTATTTCAAATACTAGTGTCCACTGTAATAACATTTGAAGTAATAAAAAAAATGTATTAAAAATAGATCTTTAGAAATAATTTTTATCTATGAAAGATTTTGTCTTGAATTCTTATTATGATAACTCATTGAATAAGTTGAAGTCCTCTTTAGTCTTATTGTTTTTAATATTTACATGTTATGACATATATATAAATATTTCTATTTCCTGATTGCAATGAAAGAGATATTTAATCTTCAATTATTGTCTCTTGTTTCAGTGGAGCAAGTTATCTGTTTATATCCATACTCGGCTCAAAACAGTGATGAGCTTACATTCCAAAAGGATGACCTAATAAATGTAATCAACAAAGATGACCCTGATTGGTGGAAAGGGGAACTAAGTGGTGTAGTAGGTGTGTTCCCATCTAACTACGTGACATCTTACAGCGCTCAACAGCAGACTGCAGTATCCAGCTCTTGTAAGTACCCAGCTTTTCTTCAGCAGTTATTATCTATAGCAATTTAAGCTCAACAGTTTTTTTTTTGAAACAAGAATTTTTTGACTTTTATACATTATTGCTATTGAACTATGTTTTGTTTTTGTTTTGTTTGTTTGTTTGTTTGTTTGTTTTTGTTTTTCATCCATTTGTTTTACTAGCTTTATAAATATTGTGTAGTGTTTTGTTACAGGTAATTTTATGGGTGGTCTTGTATAGCACCTTATTTTATAATGGATGCCATCATTCCTCCTTTATATAAATCATTTTTCATATTAATTTCATGTTTCTTTATAGACATCTCAACTTTCTATTTGATTTATAATAAATCTATTTTTATTTATTGAACATTTTGCTTCATATTCTGAGAAAAAAAAATCATTTTGAAAAGAAATAAAGCAACAAATATATTTGACAAAAAATTCTGTTTTAATGATTTTCTTCTGGCAACCTTTTTTCTTATTAAACAGAGAAAAGAATGTATATACAAAGCTTTCCAGACTAATGAGTTCTGATGCTTTAATTATGCATTCTTTAATTATCAACTAAATTTCTCGTTGAATTATTCCATTTTATATACATTTTGAATTATATATTTGGTCCAACTAACAAAATGTAAATAATACATTACAAAAAAATCTCAAACCTTCCTGCCCACAAAAAAAACAGTGTCAGAAGGATGGTTTTTCCTTTGACAATACTATTATTTTAACTACTTTCACTCCTCAGCAATATTTATTGTTTTAAAAAACAATGATTAGAATTGTATTAAAGCTTAAACATCATGAAAGCGAATTTGTACTATTGTTTGTTCTTGAGAATTTACAACAAAAATATTAAACATTATTTATTTATTAGATTGTTTACAAGAATAATTTTATATTCACAACATTGTAAAAACTAATACAACTGTACTAAAACTAATGCAATATTTATCATTTACCAATTTATAAAGAAATATGAAAACAATTTTTTATTTATAAATTTATAAACATTTACTATATTATTAAAATATGTGAACCAAGAAATAATTTTTTTTATAAAGTTCAAATTGATTGGCAATTAGTCGATGTTTTGCCAACCATTTCAATAAACAATGTAATAAATAATGTAAATGAACAATTTAATAAATAAATGTTTATTATGTTTGTTGTCAATTCTCAGGAACAAAGAAAATGTATAAATTCACTTTCATATGTTTAGGTTTCATCAAAATTCTAATCATCACTTTTTAAAACAATAAATATCACCAAAGAGTGAAAGTAGTTAAAATAATATCAGCACTGAGAGAGAGAAAAAAAAAAACATCCTTTTGACAAACCATTTTTTTGCAGGCACAAAGTTTCAAGATTGCCAAAAATTTATTTTTAAAAAATGTATCACCAATGCAAAACGGTTTGGTAAGTGCTGATGGAAGATAAAGTCAAACTAAAAAGAAAACTTGACAAATAGCCATGCAAGTAACTATTTAAGTAATAATATCTTTAAAGCTGATATTGGTCTTAAGAAATGTTTTAGTTTTAAGGCAATAAAATGAAACTTGCTTTTTTGATGAATTGTTATCATTATGCAGGCTACTTTTTTATTTTTATTTGAAAGATTTTGCTTGCAGAAAAACTTTTGTTACAGTCAGAGATTAAGATAAATTTCTAAATGAATTTGTTTTGCATGCTACAAATCAGAAAGAACTAGAGAAAAATATTAAATCTTTCAATCTATATTGTGTATGAGGAAATGATAAATTTGAGAAAAGGTTTCCAGTAGATAACAGGCAGATGAAATATGAAGTTGTGTGGTTATAGTCATTGTCTTTTGAGCATTTTTTATTTTAAGTTTGGTTTGAACAGGCAAAAGAAAGTTTTGAGAAACTTCTGGCTTCTTTCCAGTGGTTTTAATGGGGCTATAAATTACTTATTTCTTCAATTAGTTAAAATAATGTCATCAAGGAATCCAGTTGAACAATATGTGGCTGGATTTGATGAAGTATTCACTTAAACTCCTTTAAATATCTTTACTCATAGAACTACTCGAATGTGTTGACTGTAGAGTTTATTTTCCAGTATATTTGCAAATAATTTTATTTTTCATCATTTTAGTGGAAAATGTCTCAGTATTCATGTACCATTTTATACAAGGTTTATTGCTAATAGATTAGAAATTGGTCATTTGAATTCTAAATTTTGAACATTTAGAATTTATATATATTTATTCATTATTATAAATGATTGATTTATATTATAATTATTCATGCTTAGAACATTGCTGCCACATCTAGTCTGGTGCTTCTGCTATGTATTTAGAGATTCTAGATAAAATACAAAGAATAATCTGCAATGTTATGGATCCTGACCTGGCATCCCAACATCTGTCACTTTCCCAGCACTGTAATGTAGCTTCCCTGTGCTTTTCCTGTAAATCCTTTAATGGTAATTCTTCTGATGAACTTTTGTCTATGATACCTAGACTTTACAGATTTAATTACAGTATTAGACTGGTGTCAAGGTCTCATCATTTTACAGTTGAAATAGTTAGATATAACTGTAAGTTTTATGCTAACAGTTTATTTTCTCACACTTCTCACTTGTGGAACTCTCTTCTGGGTTCTTGCTTCCCAGTGAACTTTAATCTTCAAAAATTTAAATGCAATGTCAATCGTTATCTACTATCTTCTTAATTCTTGTTCTTTTATTGTTCTCTCTTCCTTAATAGTGTTTTTTCCTCATATTCTGTCACCCTCAATAACCCCTTGCATCTTAGTGACTTTATTGCCTTGCTGTGAGTGAAACGATTAAAAGAAAAAAAAAATCAAGAAAATTTAATTTTAAGTTAGAAAATAATATTGAAATTGTTTTTCACTAAAAGGTGGACAATTTATTTTAGTTTGAAATGATATTGTTTATTTGTAATGACTTGGTGAGAACCAGTTTTATTGTGCTATAAATCATTGATAATCCTAACTTAACCTTTTGTAGCAGATAATGTTTCCTTTTGGTCACCCTTAGAAGTTAAAAAAAATAATTCTAATCACTCATTACTGGATACACTATTTTCGTTTATTATTATTATTCATTAAGTGAAAAAAACAATGCAGGATGAAGACAAATATTGTGTTGTATACTTTTGTTATGGGGTATAAAATGTGAAAAAAAAACTTCTTGAACTTTATTTCAGTTCAAAATATGAAAATATTTTCTTTATAATAAATTCTTCTATTATTAAAATAAAACCTCATATAATCCCTAACCGAAATAAATATTGCAAAAATAACCAAAGTATAAAACCATTTTTAATCATCCATAATTCTAAAGTCTCTATTTTATATTGAAATATTTGATAAGTAACAAAAATATGGTTTTCTTTCTTGAAAGTGTTTTTTTATTTATTTTATTTAGAACAAGGAATATTTTACAAACAGGATTTTCTTGTTATCCTAATTAGAACCAGTGCTACAATTTTTTTTTCTTTGAGAATTCAACTTTTGGAATGTCAACATTGTTAGCAGAATTTTTCTGCCTACCTTTTGACAGACAAAAGAAAAATCTATATGAAATTGAGTAACTTTTATGAAAATTCAACCTGAATCAGGAAAATTAAAATATTTCCTTTTGAAATATTTGTAGCATTTTAGAATTTTACCCTAAGTCACTGGAATCTTTTTTTTTTTTTCCACACCATTCAACTTCATAGATATTACTATAGCTAAAAAAAAGTTTTGTTATTCAAACAACCGAACAATATAATTGATTTTTATTTTAATGTTTTATTCATGGAAGGCTAAAATAAAAATATTCATTTGTCTATCAAAATGGCTTACAATAAAGCAGTATCATTTTGATTCTTACATGTTATTTAAATTTTTTTTTTTTTTTTTTTTTTTAAGAATTATTATTCTTAAATACTTAAAAAGAGAAATAGATTTACTTACAATATCAGAAAATGACCTAAATATATTAAATATTTTTACTTTTTGTAAAGAAAGATGCATATAGAATATGTAATTCCAAATCAGTATTTTTCAATCATTTGTAATAAGATTAAGTAAATTTATTCAATAATTTATTTTTAGTACAAAAATTATTTATGGAAGGTTTTTAACTGTTATTATTTTACATGACTGAATAAATTCATATTCTATTTTTGTTATTACATTTATTTATTTTTTTCTTTTAAGACTTCCCTACATAATTGTAACCCTTGTATAGTGTTATTTGTGGCATTCTTTAAAACATAAAAAATTCAATGTACCTGGAGAATCTGCTAATTTTTTTCACTTTCTTTTTTTTTGTATAGTTTTATCATTTGCTAGAAATATTGGTGAAATAAATGCAAAACTCTTTTTTTACTGTATTTAACATATATAAATTGAGTATCTGCAGTTTTATCTTGCTCTATCTCTGCATACATACATACATATATATATATATATATATATATATATATATATATATAAGGTATTTCAGCAGCAATAATTCTTTCAAACATGTCTGGTTAAATTATGTTGACAGCTTCTATCAAATTTTTTATTAAATTTTTCAAGTTTCTGAATTAGTTGTTTCATGTTATCAGTAAAATTTGGCCAATTTACATAAAACAAGTAACTCGGAAATTCAAAAAATTTAAGAAAGAAATCATAAACAGAAATTGTCAATATTATTTGACCAAACATGTTTTAAAAATATATAAATATATGCTTTCTGATTATGCATGTATGTACTTTCTTCAGAGTAACTGTCATCAATTTTGTTTTTCGTCTTCTGTTCAGCAGAACTTGAGAAAAAGATCTTGTGAAATTATAAAATTGAATCATTTTTATGTGATGTCATTCTTATATCCTGTGAAATTTTCTGTTCTTTGTCATGTTCTCATCTATGTTCATAGATTGTTTTCAGTCCTTATTTCTATTTGTTTCCATTTTGATAAAAACGTTTCGAATGAGACTGCAGTACATCTTCAGTTGAATTTTTATTCTAAAAATAAAGATA